GGAGTTATTAAAGAAGGAAGTCCCACACACTGGGTCAGCTGGCACCAACCAATAGGCTTGTAGCCTAGATGGAATATAAAGGGAAAGAGGAAGGGAGGCTCTCATGAGCCTGAAATAAACCTTTCCACTTTAACTTGTGAGGGTCAGGTAATTTTTCCCAGCAACGCAAAAATAATGAAGGCAGGGCTCTTCTGGATGCTCATCCCCTCCTTGTGTGTCCACAGAGGTAAGATCAGTGCCATGTCCCTGGAGAAGCAGCCATGACCCACTGTTGACTCTGTATACCTGTGTGACAGTAAGCATTAGATAGAACTTTTAGATTTACTGTGTCCTCCCCAGGTTCCCCTCAAGGTGGTGCACATCTCCTCCTCTTATAGATGTGGAACTGGAGGCTTGGCAAGATGGAACAAGAGATAGGACAGCCTGTAGGTTCTGAAGCTGAGCTGACATCTTATCCTGCCAGACCCTAGACTTAGTCCAAGGTCCCTTAAGACCTTGGTGCATACTCTGCCCACAGAGGCCTCAGCCATGGCTGAAGCTCAGGTCGGCACGTCTGGCCTTCCAATTTACAGCCTTATTTGATCCGGGCTTAGCTCAACATGTTACCCCCAGGTTCTGGCCTTGCTCTGTCTAGAGCCCACATCCAGCCCTGGATGTGCTGGGGCCTTGCCCAGCCAGGCTTCTGGGGACAGCAATGCTTGTGTCCCAACGTTCCCAACGTTCAGTCCTAGGGTTCCAGGCATCCCAGAGCATGGCTCAGGCTTCCTGTGCCCTCAAAACACGTACCATATAGGTAGTGGTAACACCAGGTCAGGCTCTTGTGGCCCAAATGCCCTAGGGTCGGGAGGAGCAGAGCACAAGAGCCTCAGCACATGAGGAAGTTCTCCAGCTTTGGGAAGCTGGGCTTAATCCAGCCCTGACCATGACAGCATGCTGGGCCCAGACTACAGGGGAGCCCTCCTGGGACCTAATCCTACCCACTGGCCCTTCTTGATGAGAGCCCAACACAGCCACAGCTGCATCAACTTGCATTTGTGGGAAGCCACACACAATCACCACTATTCTTATCACTGACTGACAAACGTCAACCCAGAGAAAGCAGATTGACATTTCAAAGGCCTGTGGTGAACAGCTCCCAAATAATAGCATGTCACTGTCCTTAGAAAATACTGAGCTGTACCATGGAATTAAGGATTTCATAAAAAAGAAAAAAAAGGAGTTAACTCCCCATATGCTCTGGACATCATAACATAAGGCACAATTTATTAAATACTAATGAGATGAAATTAGAGAAAAAGTAAAAGGCTTATGTAAAAAGAAGTTTTAAAATTAAAAACATTTATTGATAATTCAAAAATACATTTAAAGGAAAGTTACAAATTATACAGGATCTCCTGGTGACCAGAGATTAAGACCAGCAGGGTCACATAGAGATGACTGAGTGAAGCAAGATGACCGTTCCTTTTTAGGGGCAAGATGTCCTGGCTTCCAGGGCCCCCGGAGGAGAGGGTGGGAGAGGACTGCTCTCTGAGAACTTCACACATTTTTCGCTGGAAACAGGCTTCGGGACAGGACGACGGGGAGGCCACACCCCCAGCCCCCTGCACAACCCCGCGACAGCTGAAGGTGTCATCTAGAAGCTGGGGCTGAAGAGGCTTCCCGTGTCTGTTCTCCAGTCTGCGCTAGGGGTAGACAGGCTTCCTGCACACCCTCCTCACGCTCACCTAGTCCTGGCCAGGAACGCTCAGGGCGAGGCCAGGATCTGGTCGGGGCAGACAGGCTTCTCTTCCGCACTTCTTCCAGAGGGTTGCGCGGGTTCTGCGGCCGCAACTCACAGACCGCTGAGTGAAGGCGCTTTTGTCGTCTCTACTGCACTAGCTGTAGCACTGAATTCAGCATTGGCTGGTGGGTCTTTCATCTCAGGACGGAAGGTTTTCCTGTCCCTGGTTGAACAAATCTGTCGAAAATGAGAGAATGGCCCCCACACCACCCGTGTGACGCCCCACTGAATTCCAAGGCAGTGAAACTTGGTCTCACTGCCTAAGAATCTTCATGCAGGAGACCTGTCTCCTTCTGAGCTCTCTGGCATACAGCTCCGCAGAAAGCTGAAGTCCCTCTCTGCCTCCCCAGGCGCTGCAAGGGCCCTGTGGCCACCACAGCCTGAGGTCACAGCCCCAAGACCACTGACCAGGGTGTGAATCCAACCAGCACCTGGCAAGCAGGCACCCTCACAGGACAGGGCTAGGTGGAGACCAGTCAAGCTGCCCACCCTCAAACACCTTGCTGAAGAAATGAGCCAGTGAGTGGAGGAATGAAGGGGGCCAAAGCCACCCCTCCTTAGAATTCTCTTTTGATTGTTGGATCATTCTCTTATTGGTTGCTTCCCCAAAGAAAGCTTAAAAGTCCTGTCTCAAAATGGCAGGCAGCCCAGAAAGTCAGGGAAAGAAACAAGGAAAGCAGAGAGATAGAAATGAGACAAAAATATATCTTAGAACTCAGGAAATCAAAAGGTTTCGAGCTAAGCTAATTGCAAAGTGATGGTTCTTTGTTGGGAGTCCCTGAGGACCACACATGCAGGGCTGGGCAGGGCCAGGGCATGGCCATCCTAAGAACAAAGAATGCATGGGGCAGCCATGTAAAGAAGCTGCTCCAGCCCAGAAAATCACCAAGCCCCATACAATCCAAGCAATGGGTTCTAGGCAGAGGGGTTGAAATTGGCATCATCCTTCTGGGCATATAAATAAATGCTGTTACAAGGGTTGATCAGTTCCTGTCCTCCCATCAGGAGGTAAGGACTCCGCCTGACCCCAGTTTTGCCTTATTTTCTCATCTTCTCACAGTCTTTCACCCCAAGAACCTCAGGGACCACGTGGGCCTGGGCAGTTCTTTCTTTTTTTTTTTTTTTTTTTTTTTTTGATAGAGGCAAAAGTGTACAATTGAAGATGAGACACATAGAAAACTGAAGACATAGACAACTGAAGAAATCTTCAGAGTTGGGACAGCAAGGCACAGGACACAGGAAGTAAGAGACTGGCCTGGCCAAGGCTATCCAGTCACTGCCAGATCAATAAGCCAGTCCACCTCCAATATATACAATTTTATTTTATTTTATTTTGTTTTGTTTTATTTTATTTTATTTTATTTTGTTTTGTTTTGTTTTTGTACCAGGGATCGAACTCACAACTTTGCACTTGCCAAACAGGTATAATTTTCATTAGTCAATTGAACCTTGATAAAGCTGAAAAAAATTCTTTTTGAGATTGATGTATCATCTTCAGTGCATGAGCTCTTATTATTGCTATAACATCATTATTAATAATAAAAATATTTAGCTACTATAACATTTTCAGTCATTGATAAGGATGGTGTTGAGCATAACTTATGGAAAGAATGTAGGGTGAGTTTCTGCAGGATGATTTTTGGGCTCAAAAGTTTCAAAGAAATCACCTTGTGAAGAAAAGCAGGAAGGAAGAAGGGAGCATGGGAGGGTGAGGATGAGGTCAAGGGCGAGAGGCAGGCCTCAAGGGGTTAGACAAGGAAATCAAGAACCTAAATATGGAAGAGTAGAAAAGAGAGGACATCAAGAAATCTCATCCGAAATAGCGCATCCATGACAGAAGCACATGTGCAGAGGTCCTGCAATGGAAGGGCCGAGGCCTAAACCCCAAAACCAGCAAGTATGTTGTGCACCTCACCACCAGCACCCGCACCGGCACCTGCACAGCCCCACATTGCTCTGCAGATGGAGCACAGCCAGCCCAGTGTAGACACCACGAGCTGCACCTCCAGTGGACTGGCTGTACTAAAGGATTGCACTTGAGGTGAGCCGCTTCCCACATTACCAATCCTGACTGGCTGAATTCACGAACATTCCCAGGCCTCGGATTTCCTCATACCATAATTCTCACAGTTGACCCCTGAAATGCTGTTTCCACCTGGCTTCCAAGGACCCCACTCCTCTAGAATCACCTCCTCCCACCCTGGCCACTCCCCTCGGCTCCTTTGGAAATTATTTTGCCTTTTCTGGCCACAGATCCCTTCTACAGACATCCCTCCCAGATGCACTGTGCAGGTCGTTTTGTCCACGTATGTCTCTGCAATGCGTGTATTGCATTATAGAACATGTGATAATTTTCTTTGGGGCACAGAAGCTCTCCCCTCCCCTTGGCCAGGGTCCTGGGTCTTTGCTACACCTTTTACCTTTCTAGAATTCTGATCAGATCCTCATCTTAACAAGGGCCAAAGCCACACGGGCCTGTGCTCGGCCCACAGGGCAGGCCCTCGAGTCCTTCCCACCTTGCTGTGGCAGCTGCATGGGCTCCACCTCCCTCTGCTCCATGGCCAGGCACTCCTCAGACATCTGCTGCTGAAGAAGAATCACTGACTACTCTCCTCACCACTGAAAGAGGAACCGTGCATCCGCTTAATGGCATGGCCACGCCATGTTGAGGTTTATCTAGCTGTTCCCCCAAAGGCTCAGGTACTTTTAGATGGGGCTTTTTTGGTGATAGCTGAATCTAGTGTTTGTGAATCATGGTTTGGTGCTAGGATTAAGGGTGGATGACTGCTGGATCAGTCCACTGGATCAGTACCAACCTAATCACAGGTGTCTGGATAAAGTAAAAGGCAGAGAGGCTTGTTTCTCCATTTTTCTGTCATATGCTAATTTTGCTGTCTTCTGCCACCAAAAACTGTGGCCCCTCTGCCATATGCCACCCTGCCTTGGAGCCAACCCTAATGGCTTGAAACCTTTACAAACTGAGCTAAAAAAAAAAAAAAAAAACTTTCCCTGTTTAATTTTAAGTGCCAGAAATTTTATCATAGCAACGAGAGAAAAGTAACTAAGACAGCTGGTAAATAAGACTCCGTCCCTTGTGAGCAGCAAATCCCCCACAGGCTGGTTTAGGGTAACCCTGATGAGAGGCCCAACTTGCTGGGAGTAGCAGAGGTGAGTATTGCATCTCTGGGGGTTTTGCAGACAAAAGCTCAGCATACAGTAGTTGCTCCTTGGTTTCTTTATTCACTGTCCTAGAAGGAACTATTAATAAAGGCTTTAGATTCATACGCACAATGTAGGCCAAAAAGATCTTTCTTCTCCAGGGGAAGGAAACTTCCATTTCAAAACAACCCAAGTTGGAGGAACTCAGACATCTGTGAGCCTGCCCTCCCTATACTGAAAGAATGCTGAGGCCTCTACACAGCCAAGGCCTCGAGAAAGGCCACAGCTCCTAAGTCTCATGGAAGCTCAGGGTGCAGAGGCAGCCAGGAACTCTTGCAGCCAGAACCAGTACTGTGCACCTTGAGAAGAAGCCAGGTCTCCAGCATTCCCCTGGGGCCATGGAAAGCCCTGTCTGAGCTGGTGCCCTAGCTGCTAGCAAGGCGGCTGAGATCTGCTGTCCAATGCCCAGGCTGAGGACAGATAGGGTATGTGGCACCAACCACTGAGGAAAAACCAGAAGAGTTTGCAGCTTCTGAGACCACAATAGACCAATGGATCACTTGTGCCCTTTGAGAGCAGATGTGTCCTCTCGAATCCAGCAGGCAAAGGCAGAATGTCCTCATACATCAGGCACCCTGTCCACCACCAAGAGGCAGTGCTATGCTTAGACACACAGGCCTCAGGACTGGCCTCTCTGGAAGGGGGGTCAGAGAAGCCCCACTTACCCACAGCATCACCAAACGGGGATGGGGCCAGGGAAGGGGAGAGACTCAAAGGTCACAGGTCCCAGCCTTCACGCAAGGGCCACTGCACTGGGACAAGCTACTACACCTGTGCCAGAAGACCCCTGGAGGCACTGGATGTGACTTGGGCCACATGCCCCAGGGGTCCAAAGTCCAAGCCCACTTGCCTCTGAGATATAAGGCTGCTTGCTTCCCAGACCTAAACTCCAACCTAGCCTGAGGGACCACACTCCTTAGCCTGCCATGGACTCTTTACCAGGGCAAGCATGGTAGTGAAACCTGTTGTTGGCTTCGTACTGGCTCTGCAATGTGTCATACAGAGCATCATTCCTGGCTTGCCTGGAGCAGTGGGTTCACTGCATGACTTCCAGTCAACCCAAGCTTAAGCCACAGTCTTGTCCCAACCTGCTTTGCCTTAGCCTGAGCCATTTCTAGCCTGACATGTGTAGCTGTGGGACCCAGCACTGTGCCTCAGTTTCCCTCATTTGTAATAGAATAACAAAAGGTGCCACTTTATAATATTGGAAATAAGAAGGCTTGAGGTCAGTCATTGCCTTGGCCTTGCACATAGCAGTTGCCCAGGAGATGTCAGTGCCCAGCCTGGACAGGGCTTTGCTAAGGCCCTGGCCAGGGTACTGGCCACACATCTGAGAGGAAGGTTGGTGTGCTTGGACCACATAAGTCTTGAGATCTAGTTAGGTCTGGGTTGTGGGAAGGCTGAGGGAGATTTTCTCTTGATGAAGGTGACCATTCCACTCGATTGACATTGTCCTGCTCTGAGGGACAGGTAGGAGAACATTATGACGTTGCTCACAAGGACCCTGACCCCCAGCACCTAAAGGCTACCTGCCCTCCTCCAACATCCATGATGATAATGGGGAGGGACAAAAGAGAGGGATGGGCTTTGCTCACAGGGGCAGGGCGGGGTGGGCAAGATGCCAGGAGGAGCTGAGGAAATGGAGCATCTGAGATCATGAGAAGAGTGTGGAGGGCGAGGTCAGGCCCACTCCAGTGAGTGCTAAAACACGAGCTTCTTGGGTACCTCCCAGGGGAACTCGCTCCGCCCAAAATGCCCGTAGCATGCTGTCTTCTGGTAGATGGGCCTCTTCAAGTCCAAATCCCTGCATGCCAGCAGAAAACAAGAGAATGGATTTTGGAATGGATCTCTTTCCCTGAACTTGAGCCCAGGAGCAGGGACAGACTCTAAGGGCAGCATAGATGGAGCTTCACCCTGTGCATGTCCTTCCTTTGCCACTGGCCCTCCTGTGTCACAGCTTAGGAAAGAGGCTCAGATGCTCCCAAGGGAGCTGACCACACAGATACGCCAGGGAAGGTAATTAAACTCTACCTTTCAGTGCCTGTGTCTTCCCCTGCACCCAACTGCCTGGCCCAGGTCAAGGACTATGCAGCCATGTGGCATGAGAAACAAGCATGTGCTGTGCACTTGCAACTTGACTTCCAGCCAGTGGGCCTTACTATCACTTTCCTGAGGAGCTGCTGGGCCATCAAGGCTCTCAAGCCACCTCTTCCACTTGGAAATTGGGCATCCCATGGACAGGGGCACTACATGCTGGGTGGAAAGCCTGCAATCCCTGACCTGTGGAAGCTGGATAGCCCTTCTCTCTGCTTCTCTTTCAGTCAAGCATGTATGTGGGGCGAGGTCTCATGCAGCAGCTGGCGATCCTTTTACCTGACAATGACACCTGGCCGGAGGTCAAAGTTCCTGTTCACCACCTCCAGCAGCTCCTGCTCTGTCTTCTGTGAGGTTCCATAGGTGAAGATGGAAATGGAGAGTGGCTCTGCCACTCCGATGGCATAGGACACCTTTCAGAAAGACCACACTCAGAGATGTTGGTGTCCTCAGGTAGGGATGGCAGGGCCAGGAAAGTGGACTCAGAATATGGGGGTTGACCTACCTGCACAAGCACTCTCCGGCAGAGCCCAGCTTTCACCAGGGACTTGGCTACCCAGCGGGCAGCATAGGCTGCGGAGCGGTCTACTTTGGTGGAGTCCTTTCCAGAGAAAGCACCACCACCATGAGCGCCCCAGCCACCATAGGTGTCCACGATGATCTTGCGCCCAGTGACCCCTGCGTCCCCCTAAAGAGGAGAAGAAATGGAAGGAAGATATGAGCCCCTGAGCCCCTGAAGAGGTAGAATGGGCTGAAGATTTGGAAAATGGTGCCCTGCAGGTGCCTGTGGGTCTTTCTCAAAGACCCTTTGTCTGAGAATTTCCAGAAACCCCAGATTTGCCTCCTGGTTCTATCACTGACTAACTGTGGAAATCAGTTTATCTGTTGGGACCTTACTGAAAAATGCAGAATATGGCCAGAGGCTGTGTAAGGTCACAGCTGCCTCACTCATCATGGTGTTGAGTCCATGAGGCTAAATGCACCTGCAGGCAGGAATTACAGTGCAACATACATAGTGTTGGGCCATGGCCTCTCTGGTACCACCAGCTACTGCCATGTCGTGCCTTTCCCAAATATTCCCTGTGCATCTTTGATCAATGTGTCTTAAATCCTGACATGTCAACTCGATTGGATTAAGAAATATCTAAAAGATACTTCTCTGTGTGCCTGGGAGATCATGGAAGTGTAACCTTGGGCCCCGTATACAGTCTTAGGCCAGTTCCTTTCTGGCTCTGTTCCCTGTTCTGCTTCTGGTCTGCCTTGAACTAAGCAGGTTGGCTCCCCACACTCTTCCACCATGACAATCCCACCTTGGAACCAGCAGACCATGGACTGAGTGCCCTGAAACCATGAATCAAATAAACATTTCCTAACCCTCTCTTCCTTTAAATTACCAGTGTCAGGTATTGTGTCTCAGAAAGGGAGAGCTGATTAATACATAAAGATGTTTAAAGGGTGGGGCTCTATCCTAAATGATTTTGGGGGAGGCTTCTTACTCTAACCCATCTTTTTATGGTTTACCCTAGTGTATCTAGGCTTTGAAAAGTCCTGCAATAGAAAATTTCCTTTTACCCCATTTTCTACCCTCCATCTATCCCCAGAGCTCAACCCACAGCTGCACCTGCACCCTGCACCAGCAGCAGTCAGTTGCCTCTCCAAGGTTCTCTGTCATTTGATGTCTAATGTCCTGTAGTACAGGTGGAGGGAGCCGCTACTAAGAAGTCCCTGCCCAACCGTGGTACCCACAAGAGCTTATAGCAACCACAGCAGCTACCCAGCAAGTGCCACCTTGGCAGGAGCAGCCAAGAGCAAGCATGGTGGCGTTTTATGAGGGCAGTGGCTGCTGTTTGCAAGTAAGATGGCATTTGAGACTCCTAAGGATATGTCCTCACTTCCATGGGCACTAACATAGCAGCCCGCCCCCCAAAATGCACTAAATGGATGAGACCAAAGTTCAAGATGTCACACTCAGTCCCCAGTCAGTCCCGCCGAGCTGTGAAAATCTCTCTCTTGTAACCTTGCTCTGGGACCCAAGACCCAGGAATGGGTTTCACTCAGAGATCCAGACACACCTGAGGCCCACCGATGACAAAGCGCCCACTGGGCTGCAGGTGGTAAATAGTGTCTTCATCCAGGTACTTGGCAGGCACCACAGCCCTGATCACCTGCTCCTTCAGAGCCCTGCGCATGTCCTCCAGTGTGATGTCCTCATTGTGCTGCACGGAGATGACAACAGTGTGGACGCGCACAGGAATCACTGCACCATTCTTCTGCGTGTACTGAACTGTCACCTGGGCATCCAAAGGCAAGGAGAGGCATTGTGAGGCTGTGAACATCACTGCTAGACATGGACCCCAGAGGTTGGCAGGACCCCCAGGGACAAGTGAGGCCTCCTGTCCTCAAAGAACTAATAGGACAAATTTTTATATTTGAAAACTTGCCAGGCACTGTGAAGTGACTGGGCATAAGGCAAAGCTGCTCCATGTGTGAACCCAGTAGGTACCATTTAAAGATGAGCTTCCTCTCAGCTGTGAGCCCACAGGTTCCTCCCCTGCTGTTCCAGAAGATGCTGGATGCCCACAAATGTCCCCTGGCCAAAATCTCTCTTTTGACTCTCCAAAGCTTCTGGCCAAAGTATCCTTGTCTTACCAGTGACAACAGGAACCCATTGGCCGCATGTCATAGGCAGGGACAGGAACCTCTTGGCCTGGGCTATGAAGGGTTGAGAGAAGGCTTTGACAGTGACATTTATTATCAGAGCCTCTGACACAGTGGTGAGTAGCCCTGTGGGTACCCAGCACCTGCAGTGGGGGATCCCTGGCAGTGTCTGGGGCAGTGGACTGGCCTCTGTAGGGACCAGGGTAAGAGGGACCGCAGCCAGGATGGCTGAGATAAGAGAAGGCAGCTGTCTCAGACCAGCTCTGGACTGTTTTGCCAAACGAAAGGACAAGGAGAGTGCCTCTGAGGGGAAGGACCACCTGTGAGGTCCTGGAAGGTCAGGTTGCAGGCATGGATCTCACACAAACTCCCACCTCCACAGGCCAGTCTTGCTCCTGCCTGGAGCATTCTATTAATATATCAGACATCCCCATGCAGAAAGCACTTTTTATCCCTACCCAACAAGAGAAAAGCAAAGCAAGGGGAAGGGAAAGCACTTGTCTGGTATCACACAACCAGCTGGGGAAAAGCCAGTAGCCAATTCCTGCTCAGCCCTGTGCAAAACCCACATCCCTTCTACCACAGCACAGACAAATGTTTCTCCAGAGATTCTGCCCTTGCTGACACATCCCAGGGCACATTGTTCTGATATCACAGAATGACCTGCCTTGGCAACAAAGGAAAACAGTCTGGGCCCTCTGGGTTTGTAGACTGCATGGGAAGAAGATGGGGGAGGACAGTGAGAAACGAGCATCGGCTGAGCATGCCATGTCCTAGAAGTCATGCCCAAGATGAGAAGCTGTGACCAGCCCACTCTATAGACCAGCAAGTTGAGGGTCTAGGTTGAAAATATGTGGTAAAGATCACACAGAAGAGCCAGGGCCTGCCTTCTAGCTTTGTGGCCTAAGGGGAAGATGGTCCAGCAGAAGGTTACCACTGGAGAGTCAAGAGCTAGATCACAGACCTGATGCTGCCCAAAGCACTGTGTGCCATTCAGAGTCTTCCAGATACCTGTGGGATCCCACTATGGCCAATGACAGAGGACTGCGCCCAGCCTGAGGCCCACTCAGGGCAAATTCTGCAGGAAGTGCCTCCTGTGGGCTTAGCAAGATCTCTGCCTTATGGAGACTGTATCAGATGACTCCTGCTCTGGGTCCTTCCTGGCCCAAGAGCAAAAGGGTGAGATTTAGAAAAAATGATGAGTGCCCAGGCCCCTGAAGCCAGATACTATGAGATTACAGGTGCATGGGGACACAGATTAAGCCTCAAATTGGGATGAGACTGGGATTGGGGTTCCCAGGAGGGAGGCCCCAGGCAGGCTCAGGGGAAAAGCTTTGCTCTGACCTCCACCAGGCTCACCCCAGGAAAGCTCTACAGAAAGACAGAGCTGGGTAGATGGAGAAAAGGCTCTTATCTCATGGCGTCAGCAAGATATGCGGAAAAATACACCATGGAAAACACAGCTCTGGCCAAGGACAAAAATAGCCACCGTCCTGCAACCCAGTTCTCAGTATCAGCAGCAGGAGTTTGTTCAGGTGGAAAGCCTCATTCTGTTCACAGTCAACACTGCACAGTACTGAGAATCCTTCACCAACAGGGTGCAGAGAGAGAGGAACAAGGCTGCTCCCCAAGGGTTGCAGGAGCTCCACTGGCAACTTGCATGCTCTGCACAGGGCGTGCTGACCTCTGGCATTCATGGCAGCCTGTCTTTCCCCTTCCCAAACATCCTAGACTTGGACACTTTTTTAAATTTTGAGGCATGGTCTTGCTAAGACATTAAGTTGCACAGGCTGTGCTGGAATTGAGATCCTCCTATATCAGCCTCCCAACATACCTAGCTTTGACTGTTTCTCATCTAAACATCGTGAAGAAGGGCTTTCTCCTCTGGTGTGGCTGGTCTGACAGGTGGATTACTACCACTCACTCTCAGCCTAAAGGTGCTCAGTAGGCTCCCTCACTTCCTCTGCCACTATTCTGGGATCAACTTTCTGAGGATCACCACAGTTTTAAATCCCAACAGCATTCCTACACAGATCCCCTCCCCTTCTTTATGTACCACTCTTTACAATAATGCCTGCTCTGTGCAGGGACTCATGCTTACAGAAAGGACACTGTACTGTGGGAAACAGGATAGACCCACATGCACCACGATGAGATCTAAAACCCTGTGGGTCAATGCTAAGTGCAGGTGCAGAAGGTACTATCTGCTGGCAGCTAGGGCTGGCACTCACAGAGACACCCACACTTAGCTAGCCCCTGTGGATATGTAAGGAACAGAGACCCCAAGCAAGGCCAAGGGTAGGGGCAGATAGGAAGCACCAAGAGACAAGGGGACCTGATGGACACTGGCAAAGGAAGGTGAAGTGGGAACCACAAATGGCTCCAAGTACCAGAAAGAGAAGGAGTTTCTCTCTCCTGCCACAGCATATGGAATTCTGAACAGATACAGGAAGTCAAAAGTGAAGCCTGTAGGAAGTGAACTGGAGATTTCTGGCAGGGAGAACTTTGGGAGGAGTGCATCCTGGGCAGGCTGGCCTGGAAAGACAAGGGTGCTCAGCAGAAAATGTGAGGCCTAGGTAGGGTAGAGACAAGAAAGCACTAAACAGGGCTGGGGACCTGGAGCACAGTCCTTCAGGAGCACAGAGGGGACAGGAGCACCACGCCATAGGCTCTTGAGTACACGTGCAAGTGGAGCAGAGAATAGGGCAACTGATTCCAAATGACAGGGTTGGGGGAACTGGGAGCTGAGTGTGCGGAGGAAGATGAGGTCCAGGGTGTGCGGAGGAAGAGGTGTTCAGATATGGGGCATTGGGTGGGGGAATGCAGAAGCCCAGCAGAAGCAGGAGGTCACAGGGAATGGAGCCATCACAGTCACCAGGGTTCATGGGGGAGGGACATGGAATGAAGGCCAATAGGAAGGGTCCATGTGTGCCACACTTGCGTTCCTCCAGCCTCCAGGGCCACCCTTCAAACAGAGGCAAAGGGCAACTTTAACACAGCGGGAGCAGAGATCAGGGCCTGCTGGGCCAGGACCTGACCCAGCAATCATAAAGCTTTATTTTACCCTGAGAAAGAAAAATGAGCATGAGGGCTGCAATGACCACAGACAGCCGAGACACCCTGTGGAGGATATAGGGACCATGCACATGCGAAGACAGAGCCCAAGACACCTGCATCCTGTGCAGCAGCAAGGCCACAGCAGGAACCAGAAGTCATTAGTCTACAGATGAAGACAAAGCAAAACAGACAGACAGTGGCTCTTGAAACCTTTCTATGATTTTTAATTTTGGTATTAAAATGTGGTAGGGGTGGGGGAGGTATATTTACAGTAAAAGCTTTCAAATAAATAACATTTTCAAATAAACAAGTTGTTGAATGCACAGACTGAATATTTTGATCTTAAACATGTCAAGAGTGAAGAGGACTTGGTGGCTCTGGGAGGTGCTGGAGGCCACTCACCTGGGTCTTGGAGTCGGGCCTCAACCAGGGGAGCACACCGGTGCGCCGCAGCTCTGCCATGCGGGCGTTGAGTTTGTGCGCCAGGACAATGGTGAGGGGCATGCACTCCTCCGTCTCGTCAGTAGCATAGCCAAACATCAAGCCCTACAGCCGCAACCAGGCAGACTGAGCGACACCCAGCTTCCACCACCAGGGTGATGGCTTTCCCAAATCTACAATTTCAACATTTACTGGATGTCTCATACATAGAAGACTTTGCACTCGGTAAGTCTGAAAGGGAAAGCACCATCCACACCCCCAGCCCTCCACAAGGGAAAGAAACCCCTCAGGCATCAACTGCAGCCTTCACATGCTGCCCTCAAATCACTGCCCTAGTAGGAAAACCACCTCACTCTAGGTGGCTTCTCCAGCTCAAGTGTGCATGGTGGGTCTACCCAATAGTGTGAAGTACAATTAACTTTTTTTTTTTTTTTTTTTTTGGCCCAGAGGATCAAACTCAAGACCTTGCACTTGGTAGGCAGGTACTTATGCCACTGAGTTAAATCCCCAGCTGTGAAGTTCAATTAAAACACTACTCTCTCTTTTTGTCTTTGGCAATATACTGAGGATTGAATATTGAAGGAAGAACTTTCACATTGAGCTATATCCCCAGCCCTTATTTAATTTTCTATTTTGAGACAGGGTAGGTTTGAACTTGCAATCCTCTTGCCTTAGCTTCCCAGAGAGCTAGGACTATGGGAATGCACCACTATTCCCTCAGCGCCTCCATAGAGTTACAGGCCAGTCTAAGGTGGACTACACTGGAGTGACATCCCACAAGCTCCCACACTGCTGAGATACCTGGTCTCCAGCACCAAAATCCTCTTCATTTTTGTCTAGATGGACACACTGGGCAATATCCGGGGACTGCTGTTCCAAAGCCACCAGCACATTGCAGGTCTTGAAGTCAAAGCCTGGGAAGATGGGGAGAGCATGGCTGAATGAGGATGAGAGTCATACGGGCAAGGTTGGCAGCTTTGGCCTTTGCACAGCATTGAGTGTCAGGTCAGGTGGTTTCTGACCAGCTGGGGTCTGTCTAGGCCCATAGCTAAGACCCAGGACAGCACGAAAAAGTCATGTCTCCTTCCCATACCATCTTGCTGAACTCTTCAGTCAAAGAAAGTTCTCTGTGGTGCATGTTATCATATTAAATTATACTTTGGCTGAAAAGATATATCTCACATGATTAAAATGTTATACACACCTACAAAAATATCACTCAAACCCAGGGTTTTGTAAAATTAATATGCACTAATGAAAAACATTTAAAAATCATAAACTACTTGAAATTGTGACATTAAAACCAGATATCATAGATGCTGCACTGGTGATGAGTGACTCCTGGCCCTATGTCTTCAGCTGTCCTGGAGAAGCTCTCAGGACAATGTCTGAGCATCACCAAACTGAGTGAAAATCAAGGGTGCTGCCACTGTGTTTCCAGTGCTGCCATTCAGAAGCTCAGGATCAAACACCTGAACAAACTTAGTGTACATGAACCATCTCAACAGAGTTGGTGTGCTGAGATCCCAAGATATGCCCAGGGTCTGCAGCAAATGGGAAAGCCAAGGCCCCAGTGTGCCATGCTGAGGCTAAGTTGGAGAGCCAGGCTCTCGCACAGTGGGCACTAGACCGGTCCAGGCAGTGCCATGAGGAAGCTGCTGTTCCTGCTAGTCCTCAGGGCCGTGCTGGGCTATGCTGCCGAAAGCCAAACACCAGATGCCCCACCACAAGTGCCCTGACCTCCCTGAGCCCTATCAACCAGCCTCTTCTTAGATGTAACCCACAATTTATGTGTAAGCTTCAGGTGGGATCTACCACCAAAGAATAAAAAACTGAAGCTCTACTGCACCACTCAGCCCTCACTACCAAAACCTTTAGACAACTGGGTTCTGGGTTGACCTTAAGCAATACACCTTCCCCTCAGTAGGTCTGTCTGCCTGCCTGGAGGGCTCTTCCTGGCTCTCAGGAAATGCACCTGTGTGCTTCCTCCTGCAGTCGAGCTTCCTGCATCTTACACTCACCATAGACACATCACTGAGTAACATCTCAAGTCCCTGGCCTCTACCCCAGGAGCACCTAGTCATCTTCCCCTTTGCACTGCCCTGATCCCCAGTGAATGTTTTAATACGCAAATCAATGAGAGGTCTTTAGAGAGCTGTCAGTGTTCTTCCATTGACATTAGACATTTCACATCTTGCCTAATCACTTCCTGTCTATATAATGAATTTTCCCAGCATTGAAAACTAAGCAGTACTCCAAGTGATTTGGAAAAACAATTCAGGAACCAAAAGGAAAAAAACCAGAACTTGGAAAGGAGGGGAACTCAGTGACTGCAACATAGAGTGCAGGGAGTAACTGGCTCTGGACTTGCAGGGCAGCCATCACAGCTATCCTGCTGACTGGGGAGTATAGAGAGAGACAACAGAGACCCAAAAGGAAATTTTTCTTTAAAGATTGGAATTAGTCTAAGTTCACTGTGGACTCTTTAAGATGGAAACCAGAAAGCCAGTGCAGGAACAAGGCCTGCAGCCCTCATGGAATAGCACTGTTCTCAGGGCCCCAGTTCTGGTGGCCTTCCACCCTGTGCTGCTGCCTGGCTTGAACACTGAAATACACGTTAAGGCCCTATGGTCTTTTTAGCTTGGACCTGCCCATTAGAGTGGTGCTTCTCCTCAGTCCCTGCCAGGCCTGGACCCCTCCTCTGGGCTTTGGCCCCCAGATGACTGGCAGTAGCACTGAACTGGGCCAGTCCGTCTCCTTCACTGCTTTCAATCCCAAAACTGGACATTCTCTATGCTAGCGGTAGATTTGCCAACCTGGTGGCCTTTCACTGATTGCCAACTATAGATTTTAAGCCTCAATTTCCTCGTCTGCATAAGAAGTACACCAGAGTTTCTGGAATGATTAAGGGAGATGGTGCCCACAAAAAGACCAGTGTCTGTGCCTGGCAGAGGGCATGTTCCCAATGGAGGCAGCTCCCCTTATTCAGTGCTAATTCCTTTCCAACACCAAGAAGGCAGGGCAGTAATGAGATTCAGCCACAGTGGTTGTGGGCGGATCCCCCTGCTGCTGTCCTACACAGTCGGATGTAATACTCTTGTCCAAGCTTTGGACCCCTGGAACTTAACACATGGGCCTAGTGATGATGCTTCTCCAGGCAGGAGTTGCACTGCTCTAACACTAAGGCTCAGATCCAGCAGCAGGTGCTCTCTCAGCAGAAACCAGCCAGTATACTGGCCCTCACCCTTTGCAGAGTCATCATAACCAATGTGTTTGATGGCATCCCGCACCACGCGCTGGTAATCCACCATGGCCTTGGAGGTGATCTCCCCACATAGCAGCACCATGCCTGTCTTGCACACTGTCTCTGCAAGGGAAGGAGGAAGAAAGATTGGCAGCCATGTGCCAGCAGATGGCAGTAGGAGATGTTTCATGAGCAATGGATTCCAGAAAGAAAATAACAATGCTGATAAAAAGCATAAGCCCAGCCCTCATCACTGAGCATCACCAGATGCTGCCTGCAGAAAGATGCTTTGAGAAGGATCAGTTGCACTTCAATTTTAAACTATGTGTATGATCTCAGACAATTTATTTAACCTAGTTCTCAGTTTTCTCAACTATTCTGTGAGAAAATACTAAAACTGTTGTGTGGATTAAAAGAGACAATAGTTCTATGTGGCTGTCACAGTGAACACAGGTCACTGCCGCCTGCCCTCCCTCCCCACCCACTTGTTGCTAAAACCCCACTGTGAGCTTCAGGGGGTTAGATCAAAAGATCTTTACCCCCTGATATATTGCAAACAGCTGGAAGTAATCTACCCTGTGAGAGCCATGAGTCCCTGAAGCATTTGATACAGGGGCTAGGATGCCACCACAGATGGCAGGGTAGCTCTGGGCAGTGGGCATGACACAGTGCTGATGATAAGAACAGTAGGGTTCTTATCTCTTGCTGAGTGCACTGCCCCATGCCTTGGCTGAGGCCCTGATCCAATGGCACTGTGATCCTTTTGTGAGGGGAGCAGGCTCCAGAGTCCCTGGCTCTGCTGCTGTGACTCAGGCTTCAGTCTTGGCAAAAGGTGAAAAACTTATTCCACAGATAACAGTGGACATCTTTAGCCTCCAGGAAACAAGGAGGGTCTGATATTAATGTGTCTTAGGAAAGCTGGTGCTTTTGTTATGGGCAACTGATGGAGAAGTTGGCCTTATAAATCAGTTTAATGTCAAAATCATACCACCAGCTAGACAGAAAGCAAGAAAGGAGCTAGACACTCCATGACCTGAAAAGGCTCTAATAGCAGAAATGCGGCTCATGGCCCTCTCAGCAGCTCTGTTGCTCCATGGTCTCCATCTCCTCTGGGGCACTGATCTCAGAACTTTGAAAGACCTCTCCACTCCTCAAAAACATCCAGTGTCAGGAGGCCTTGCAGTGATCCAACTCTCTGCCCTTTACTAAGACTAAGATAGTTAAGGCCAAATTCCTGCTGAAGATGATTACAGATTTATTTCATGACCTGAAGTGTTTTCTCCCCTGACGTAGCATGTGAAGGCCACTTCATGGAGACCATGCTGCAGCACAGAGCACATGGACATTCACCACTCCATGGCTCAGCCCTACTATGCGTGTCTCACCTGGCCCGCTCAGCCATTTGGCAGGAAGGGATGGGTCACTTACCACAGGCCACCTTGGCATTGGGATCTTGCTTGAGGTGGGCATCCAGAACGGCATCGCTGATCTGGTCACAGATCTTATCTGCACAAGAATGAACAGGGTATGAGTCATATAAGGAATGAGTATAACTGAAATATTAAGTAATCTGATAATCTGTCGGTTTTCAAATCAATTCTACCTACCTAACAGGATTCATAGTTTAACATAAAAATTAGGAAGATTTTGAATTTTTTATTTCTTTTCATTCCTACCTCACTTTGAAAATACATATTTTATAAAATTATAGAATACTGTAGAAGAAATATGCTTCAATATCAGCTCTTCTTAGACTCTAAAGCAGCACATGTACACACACATACCCAAGTACAGTGTCTCTCATTCTTACAACATGCTCTTCTTAACTCTAACATCTAGAAATTTCCTAGAAATAGAAAGAACCCTTAATAACATCAGTAATATTCAATGGTAAGATGTAAAATCAGATGGGACAAATAGCTGCACTGCATTGCATCATACAAAATCAAACACCCAAGTACATACCACCACCTGCAATCTCACAAGAGCAGCTGCTCACGGCTCAACCTTGAAATCTTAGCTACAGAAGGCTAAAGCAGGAGAGTTACATCAGAAATTTCACAAGCTAGCAAGCCCCTGTATCAAAATAAATAAAGAGCTGGAAATGTAGCTCAGTAATAAGAGTACAAGGTTCAGTCCTCATTATGACAAGAATAAAGCAAAAGGCCCAAGAATTCTCCCAAGAACACCCCTAATATCACTGTTCTTTTGAAGAACATTTCCATGACCATCTCCCAGAGTCTCCCCATGGCCACTGAAGACTAGACGGCCTGATAGCTGGGTTTTCCCTCTGGGGTCAAGATAGGAATGATAAAGGTTCACCCTGAGCTAGACTTGAAGACTACACATGGTCTAACACGTAGATCACTGTGGAAAATTTCTTATTTTGTTTTTTGCAAGGTGAACAATCACAAGTGAAGAATTAAAAGTGACCTCAATTATGCACATCACATCTCATACTATGTTCAAAATACTTATGGATACTCTTAGTAGATTAATACATTTTAAAACTCCAGATTCAGAATCAAACTATTCAACTCTCAAAAGTAATTGTTTTAAATATATATATGCCAAAAATATATGGCACCCATGTTAGTCTTATCCACCTTCAAAGGTTAACTTTGTAATTTCTTCTTGAGAAACATTACTAAATATGTGTTTGGGTTTTCTTGCCAGTGGCAGATCCCAGCTATAAATCTAGGTTTGCCTGAGACCCTGGTTTCTGTACGTACCCATCAAGACCTCGCACAGCTGATATATACTGAAATTAGTAATGATGGCCACTTCAGACCTGCCCACTAGGATCCCTAGAAGTTATTCACAGGCTGACTGTAGGTGTCTCCGCTTACTCAAAGGACCCAATGTAATGTAGCAGCTATAAAGACAAAACCAGAATGCAGCAATGTCATAAAGACAGTACCTCACATAAGATAATGCCCAAGGGTATCCTTTCCAAATTTCTATTATAATTACTCAGTAGTCTTAAGATAGCCAAGAGTCAGTTTTCCTGAAATTCAGAAAAGAAGTAAATTTTCTTTCCGATGGTTATGGAATAAAAAGCAGAAGCCACTAAGCCTTAGAAGAAACTGACTTACTTGTACAGTTAATTTATACTGACAAATGAAAGCAGAATCAGATAAGCTGAGGGAGTGTCAGGAAACAAAATGACCCACAGATTGGCTGAAACTGTCATCCTCTGATCACTAAGCACATTACTGCTGGGTATACTGTGCCACACTCAGGGCCACTAGCTATTCTGTACCAAAAATCTCACTTCCTCCAGGTGAAAATCCTTCTCCTAACCTGTATGTTGCCCTCATAAGCCACTGAAAGAACCAGAGTATATCAGACAAAGCCACGTATCCAAGGTTATTATTACAGGAAATCTATGATGTTTATCCATAAATGTATGTACTGTGAAAGAGGGTATTTACATTAAACTAAGTAAGTCTCACACAAAGCAATTTGGTTCAAGATTTTTGAACAGCTGCACTACTGACATTTTAAGCCACAGAGTACTTCGTTGTAAGGCTGCTTTGCACATTGTAAAATAAAGTTTAGCTGCATGCTTGGGCCTCTATCCAGTCAGTGCCAAGAGCACCTTCTCTCTTTTCCCCAATGCTGTAACAACCAAAACTATCTCTAGATATTACAAAATGTTCTTGGGAAAGATGGACAAAATTGCCTGCAACTGAGGACCACGGAGGAGCAGTGCATTGTGATGACCAGAGCCATGTTACAAGTTATGAAAGTTAAATCTTTGGGAGGAAAGACGACCACAAGGAAGATGGGAAAGGGGAGCTTGGTGGTAAATTACCACACACCCCAAGTTCTCAGGTGAAAATAAAGAAGTGTTTTAACACCAAATCTGTGTGTCTAGTGCTCAGGATTCTCCTGGTATAGCAGTCCTAAAAGTATGATTTCTGCAGCAGCATGTCCTAGGAACTTGTTAAAAATACAAACTCTTGGGGGTGGGGATTTAGCTCAGCAGCATAAACACCTGCCTTGCAAGTCTGCGGTCGTGAGTTTGATCCCTGGTACTGATTTTTAAAAAGACAAAAAAAAAAAAAAAAAAAAATACAAACCCTTGCGCCTTCACCAGAACTTAGTGCCCTATGGTCTTGTGTGGGGATCATTCCCTGTTGACTTAAATTGCTCAGTGATCACAGATAAAAGCTTCACTCAAAATAAATACCTATGGCTGGGGATTTAGCTCAGGGGCATAAGCACCTGCCTGGCAAGTGCCAGGTCATGAGTTTGAACCCCGGCATCAAAAAAAAAAAGAAATCAAAATAAATACCCAACAATTAAGATCTGATGGGACGTTTTGTATGTATCTTATGTTTATTGTCCTGCTGTGCTGAGATTCTGGTGATGGGCAGCTGCACGGATCCTCAGCTTCACTACAAGCTACTGTTTATGCTGTCTTTCCAGAGGACCCTATCACAAGTAACACTCACCATTCTTAACAACTCCCTGGGTCTAGACTGAGGAGGATGGATTTGCGGTCAAACCAGGACAACTCACCCGGATGTCCCTCTCCTACAGATTCTGATGTGAACATGAAGGCTCCTTCTTCAGTTAGCGAATGGCTACACAAGCCAACCACGGGTCCATTCATTGTCTCACACTTCTCCACTCCACTTTTCCAAGGCAACAATTTCAATGCTGTGGCTTTGCCTGAGCTTTTCTCTACCACTCCAACAGGCTTGTCTCTGGCAGAGGCACAGGGATGGCTCCCTTCTACTGCCTGGGTGCACTGACAGCAAGGTGAGGATGGGTGGTACAAATAGAGGAGGCTGTGTCACTCCCTCCACTGGTCAGCGCTTGCTCCTGAGTGACTCCTATATATGGAAAAGTGAAAGTACCTGAGTAATCATGTGAGGACATTGGAGGAGTCCATTTCCTCAGAGGGGAGGGAGTCTTTTTACTTTGAGGAATGTCAGTCCTCAGTTCTGATATCCCAATCCTCAAGTACCTGGCTCAGGGCAGGTGAAGCAGGCTGCAGGGCTTCTGCAGAACTGAAGCCTCACTGAGTTTTCTCTGCAGCTCTCCAGCTAATCTATGTATTTTTCCAGCACTCTCATCTCACTTTGGAAGGCAGAGGGTCTGTGGTGACTCAGAGGTACAAACAGGCAGCAAGAAATTCTCTCCCATTGGACATGGTTCAGGCTAAGATTGCAACACTGGGCAGCCCTGGTGGCGAGCGCCTCTTCACCCACCTCTGGTCCACAGTGGGTTCATGCCCACCCACTGTAGGCCCACAGTACTCACCTGCTCATTGAACCAGCTGCAGTGTTACACAACAGACTCATTTTGGAGACAGAGCCTTTGAATCCACACTTTCCTGCTAACAGAAATCATCCAAACTTTCAACTTCTCTAAGGTGCTGGAGGCAAATTAATAAGCAAGGTGTTAATTTTAAAAAAGTACCTGGGCAAGTAATATAGAACAATGGATTTTTGTTGTTGTTGTTTTCAGAGATGGACTTCTGAGAAACAAATTCATTGCAGAGAAATTATTAGAGTTCTGATCCCACAGCTGCCAGATATTAAATTAAATGTCCATGCATTCATACTAGATAAATACCTGTTCATGTCACCCTTCATTATTTTTGCCTTGACCAAACTATACTAGATCAGACTATATCATTAGTTAATAGACTGAGTGCATCACTCAGTTCAATCTCTCCTGCTCCAGGGTTGAGCTGCATCTTCACATGCAGGGATGATAGAGGTCACAGAGAATGAGGACAGGTAGAGAATGCCATTAAAAACTGTATATGTCATAGGTCAGACCGTGGGAAGCAAAGGCAGGAGACAGTAGCCTGGGCTTGCAATTCTCGTGGCCAGAAAAAAAGCATTTCAATATTTCTGGCACAGATTCTAGTGAATTTTAGTAATTGGTCCTCAGTAGCAGCCCAATCTCTTCAGGGAATGAAAAGCCTATTGAAGGGACTGCTTGTAGGGTAATACGAGGGATTTCTCATATACATATTCATCAAAGGCATTTAACAAAGTGGGTTGAACTGCTTAGGCATAACACTGCTGAAAGTTCAGAGAAGAAAAGACCCCTGGGGAAGGATGGACACATGGAAAATCAAACTAGGATTCTAGACTCTAAGCCTGATCATTGTTGGCACACAAGACCTTCCCTGTTTATACTTAAAATTTAAACATTTCTATTGCTTTGTAAATGTCTTTTGGGAACATTAGTTTTTTCAGAAACAATATGATCTAATGTTTAATTTGAACTCTACCCTAGCAGTTGCAACGGTATGACAGCCACTCTATGAAAATGCCCAGCATGGAAAAGTGGTGTTTCAGAAATGTGTGCCCAGACTTCTGCAGTTGGGCCACCAGCTCAGAGTGATGAGGGGTGTGGAGAACATCTTTCAGTGCTGTCACACACATGAGTTTCTCATGAGTCACCTATCATATAAATACTGAGCTACTTCTCAATCTTTCCAAGACAGATGTTAGACAGTTGCACAGGTAAGACAGAGGCTACAAGTTCAGTCTTCAGGCTGGAGCACTGACCTTGCCTCCAACTTCTGACAGCTTGGGCCAGACCTCCTAACCTCTCAGCCCACAGCTTTCTGAGCTACACAGTGTACGTTAAATGACAACCTATCTCACAGTGATTTTATGAGAATTATCTTAGGTCATTTAGGTGTGATAAGTATTGAACATACTACTGTCAAATGATAAAAATGTAATAAATAGTAGCAAGTATTATTATTAAGCGGTCTATGCACTTATATATGGTTTTTCTGTGCAAAATGAAATCACACACACATGCTCACACACACAAAATTTGTATCCTGATCTTTTTCCCCACAATTTATTATGGTCCTTTTTTTTTACATCTTTATATACATACAGACTTTTTTTTAGCACCTGAATCATATCTCACAATAAGGAAAAGCTGCAAATTATTTAATCATTCATTCACCAGTGGTTGAGTGCTTTTTTAATTTTCCAGTTATTCAATATCACAATAACTCCACAGTAAAGATATGTATGAGAGGCAGCTTTTTATAAAAGTCAGAATGAAAGGCTCTGGCAGTACTAAACTAGCAAAAAGATTCTACTTCTGCAATGAATTTTACCAGTTAGATTTTTAAAAATAGTCATCCGTGGTGCTGGGGATTTATCTCAGCGGCATAAGCGCCTGCCTTGCAAGTGTGTGGTCATGAGTTCGATCCCTGGAACTGATAAAAAAAGAAAAAGGCAAAAAAAAAAAGAAATAGCCATCCATCCAAAGGTTATTCTACAGTCCCTTTCAGAAAGAATTGGCAGATTAAAAAGATATAACTACTTTGGAAGCAGAACGCACAAGGGATTCAATCTTGATTCCCCTTCTAAATGCAAATACAGTCTTCCACATACACAGACCATCTTGTTTTCTTCACAGGGATTGTCCTAGTGCCACCCCCAACCCCACAGACTACCTAAGCTCAGCATGTCAAAGACCCACAGTTCATTTCATTTCCACATAACAACCTTCGACTCTGAACCTCACTCCCGCCCCTAAGACATTTGGCTTTGAAAATAGATCTTGCTTTGCCTGATTTACCTCTACTAAGTTTCTTGAGTCAGAAACAGAGGACTGGCCCTAACTAGCAGTGTGTGTGACCCACTCTGGCCAGTTAAGGAAGGAGTAAGGGCAGTGATCCCAGACAGCTGGAGGCCCTCCAGCTGGTGGAGAGGCCTGACCAGGCAGTGACTTTTACTGGCACTTGCACTGCCTACATGATGGCCATGCCATAAGGAGATAACCAGGAAGTTCTGATGACCTCAACCTCCAGATGCAGAGAGGTAGCCTGCTGTGCTTAACTAAACTAAACTCCACCTAGGGAGCAATTAGACAAGAGAAAGAAATAAAAGGAATAAATACAGGAAAGGAAGAAGTTAAACTATTGCTATTTGCAGATGACATGATATTCCATATAGAAGACCCTAAACTCCACCAAAAGACTACTACATTTAATAAGCAAATTCAGTAATATAATTGTATACAGTCAATACTCAAAAATCTATAGCCTTCCTGTACATGAATAACAAACTCACTGAGAGAGAAATCAGGGAAACAATACATTTTATATTAGCATCCAAAAAATTAAATACCTAGGAATGCAGACTGGTGCAACCACTATGGAAATCAGTGTGGAGAGTCCTCAAAAAACTATGACTCGAGGTCCCATTTGACCCAGCTATTGCCCTTCTGGGTATCTCCCCAAAAGATTTAAAAACATCATACCACAGCAATATATGTGCGCCCAAGTTTATAGAAGCACAATTTGTAATAACCAGATCTTGGAAACAACCTAAATGCCTACTGACTAAGGAATGCATAAAAAAGATGGGTATTTTTATACAATGGAGTACTACTCAGTTATACAGAAGGATAAACTAAAGACTTTTATAAGTAAATGCATGCAACTCAAGACCATACTCAAAAGCAAAAGAAGACAAGCATGTAAACATCGTGTTGTCTCACTAGTGTGAGAAACTGAAACATATGTACTTTTCATTTCAGAAAGTCACAAAAATAAGAGACCTACACAGGAAGAGCAGCACCGTTGCCCCACATAAGCAAGCAGGTCCCCACCAGGAGTGCAGCACCCCTGACCCAAGGGCAGGGCCAGCCAACAGCTCCAACCCAGGCTTATACTTTGCTTCCCCATGACAAGGGGCAGAAGACCTAATCCTAGAGGAGGACATCACCAAGGGGAGAAAGGAGCAACCAAACCTTACAACTGTGGACATATGTCCAACAGCCTACTTGAACCCTGAGGACTATAGAGACTGGAGCACCAAACACACTCCCCATCTACCAGTGGAGCAGGGACACGTCGTGAGTGATGGACAGAAGGATCCAATGGGTACTAGAAAGGCACCTAAAAAACTGGACAGAGGGGCCTTACGGTACTGCAGAGGCACCTAAAAAACTATGAGCAAGCTAGGCACAGCAAATTGGACTGGATGGATCCCAAGACTGAAGATCTTGGAAAGAAATCACTCATTCAGTAACTAGGAATTCTTTCTATGACTCAGTATTTTTTGACTTTTCTGTTTAGTATTATTTTTGTCTCTTCTTTATTCATATTTTTGGGGGGTGGGGGTTTTTCAGCCCTCTCCCCTTTAGTTTCTTTTATCTCTTTTCCCCTTTTAGCCTTTTCTCTTCCTTTAGTTCCCGTTTTTGCTCTTAGTTTATCTTTTTCTCTTTTTTGTTCATTCTTCTCTGTAAGTGCTGTCACTATTAATTTTCTTTGGCTTTTTAATAGGAGCCCCTAGCTCACTTTTCTCTCCTCCTCACATCTCATTGATTAATTTTTCAAATTTTGCTTTTTTGTATTTGTGGTTTCCCACCTACTCTATCTTTATTAGTATAACTGCTAAGCTTTACGACTCTCCAGATATCTAGTTAACTTTACACTATTGCTGTTGAATACTGTCCTACCAATATTGTTAGTAGAAGTAGTGTTGTTCCAATTAGTAGATATTTACTGTGGGTTGATAACAGGTCAATATTTGGTTTATCTTAGTGATCATACCATAATTACATGGTTAATTATATGGTTTGCTATGGTTAAGGGTAGTATTTTACTGGTCTTTAGGTTTTGTCAGTATTCAATTTGTATTTGATGCTATAATCAGTATGGATTTTATAACTATAGCCAAGTTGACATAGCTATTGCTCTTAATTGTGGAATGCCAAAAATTGGATTATCTTGCTGTCATTAACAATACTGTGGCTCATTGCTGGAAAACTGATTACTGGACCAAATAAGCTGCAACCTCCCAGCTCTATTAAAAAGGGATGGCTGAATCTTGGGTCAGAGGCAAAGGTCAATAGTTGGCTATGTCCAGAGGACACCACTGAAAAGTAGACATTATCTAAAGAGCACTTCAAATTAGAAACAAAGCTTTCCACTCCAAACAACATGAAAATCTCAACATAACAACAGCAACAAACAAAAAGAAGAAACATAAGACAAGCCAACAAGATGCCTACAAAATCTCTCAACTCCCCCAAAGCTAATCTATGCAGCACCATAGCAGGTTAGCTTTTCTGTATTCAGACAAAGTGA